CCAGGACCTGCAAAAATAAAAATGTGGGTAGGTAGGTCCCTTAGCCTGTATTTTAAGTCACACCATTCCAAATATGACCTGCAAAGTTCATAACGGTCGGTGCCGTTTATTCCTCTGATGGGGTAGCAATAGAGAGAAATCTGTCTGTTGTATTGCTTTGTATTTTACCTAAGACTGGACTCCCTGCATCAGGGGAGATGGGGAGGGAGCCAGCGAGGGCGAGAGAGCCGTCAGAGGCAGGCAGGTGTGATCGCATGGAGGAGAGGGTGGGCCTTTGGGGAGAAACCGTCCAAGCTCATTCATTCTCCGGGGCTCCTCCGGAAAGCACAGAACCACCACTGCCAACTGCCACTTTCTCCAGGGGAGGCTGGTGCCAGGCAGAGTGGGCACAGCCTGGTGGGCACAGAGCCAGGAAGGAACACAGGATTCTCCTTCTGTGCCTTCCAGCCTCAGGCGCCTGCTGGATGGCTGGCAGGAAAGGGATCTGTCCTGGCCCCAGACCATGCTTCTGAACCCTGAAACACAGGGCCTCTGGGGCAGAGGGTGGAGAGAACAGGGCGGGGACGGGCTGAGTGCCTCTCTCCCATGCTAGTCTCAGGGGAGTCTCCAGAAAAGAACAAGGTAAGAAACTGGGGCAAGGTCTCTCCCAGGCCAGCTGTTCACAGCTCCACCTCTGACAGGTGAGACAGAGCTCCCAGGTCAGCCTGCGCCCCGTGCCCGGTAGCGGGTGTGTGCTGTGTGACTGCACTGGCCCCTGCTAGGACTTTACTGGAAAACACTCAAAACGAAGAGGCGAGAAGGAAGCCCACCACACCTTAAAGAAATACCTCAGGGTGAGGGGTGGCCTCACATGAACAAACCGTATTTTCTACTTTCATAATAATGATTTTAAAAATATTTCCAATAAAAATCATAAAATATTTTTACTGGGAAAAAAATCAAAGGGATTAAGGAACAAAGTAAAAGGGGAGGGGATTACATTTGTTGCCTAGAGCCCTGGACCAGCTGAACCAGGAGAAACAGAGGAAAGAAAAGGAGAACCCTGGCCGGGTAGCTCAGTTGGTTAGAGCATCGTTCCTATACGCCAAGGTTGTAGGTGTTTTTTTTTAAGGTTGTAGGTTTGATCCCCAGTCAGGGTACATACACGAATTAACCAATGAATGCATAAATAAGTGGGACGACAAATCAATACCTCCCCTCCCTTCCGTCCTCCCTCCACTCACTCTTCTCTCTCCCCTCCCTCCTTCCCTTCCACTCTCTCCAAAAATCAATGAAAAAAATATCCTTGGGTGAGGATTAACAACAACAAACAAAAAAAGAGGAGAAAACTGTTTACTCATGTGTGTGGAGAGATATTACCATGTACATCTGCTGCATGATAATATCTTCAGTCAGAGTTTCCCAATCCCCTGTCCCATACCAGGGGTCTGCAGCTACATCCTTGGGGGTCTTTTAATTCTGGGGAAATTTTTTAAAAATCACCATCCTAGGATATTCTTTCCGTTTATTGGAAGGGAGGGAGAGAGGAAGAGAAGAAGAGCAAAAGAGGAGAGAGAGAGAGAGAGAGAGAAACATCGATGTGAGAGACACATTGAACTTGAGACCCTTTGCTGTGCAGGGCAATGCTCTAACCACTAAACAGCATCAGCCAGGGCTCTGGGGAAATTTTTTTAATTCACATTTTATTTTAATGATGACAAATCTTTTTAACAGTTTTAAACATGTATTAACAAGCAATTGGAATATTTTTATAGAATAAGCCTTCGTTTTCTTTTTCTCCAATTGAGGTATTGTGGATACATGCTTGGGGGTCTTCTAGCTTTTTTTCCCTTTAAAAGGAATCTGGATGCTATGTGAGAAACACTGGCGGTACCATCCTTGGAGTTCCTGTGATTGAGAGGGTTCTTTAGGCCTGGGCGCCCCCTACTGGAGAAACTCAGAGTATCTGATGTGTGAGTGGGGTGTGTGTAGGATGTGTATAACTGTGTGTCTTCAGAAATACAGGTGTGGTTGTGTCTCTTCTTTCTATATAGTGAGCACACTCTACCCTGAGGTTTCTCTCTCTCTCTCTCTCTCTCTCTCTCTCTCTCTCTCTCTCTCTCTCTCTCTTCTTTCAAAAGGAAGACATTGAATGGGTGTCCCCCTTCTCTCTCAGGACTGGGAGGCTTTTGTCCCCTCTTGTCTAGCGAGCAGTGGTGCTCGCTCCGTCTCTGAGAGACCTGGCTTTCTTTCATCCTCATGACAGAAGCCTCTGCAGGATCTGTGTGACAGGCCTTGCTCATCTGTCTCTGGCAGACCTGGGGGAAAGCAAGGTGGATTCCACTCTGGTGACTATATAGAGCAGGGGTGGGGATCCTTTACTCTGCCGAGGGCCATTGGATATTTATAACATCATTTGCGGGCCATACAAAATTATCAACTTAAAAATCTGCCTGCTGGCCCAGCCAGTGCGGCTCAGTGGTTGAGTGTCGACCTATGAACCGGGGGGGTCACGGTTCGATTCCCGGTCAGGGCACATGCCCGGGTTGCAGGCTCCAACCCTAGTGTGGGGTGTGCAGAAGGCAGCTGATCAGTGATTCTCATCATTGGTATTTCTGTCTTTCCCTTCATCGCTGAAATCAATAAAAATATATTTAAAAAATTAACCTGCTATATTTGGTCAAACATTT